TGCAAGGAGAACAAACCTATCCATTCTAAAGGAAATCAACCCTGACTGCTCACTGGAAGGACAGACCCTGAAGCTGAGGCTCCAGTACTTTGGTCATCTCATGAGAAGAGAAGACTCCTTGGAAAAGACCTTGATGTTGGGAAAGTGTGAGGGCAAGAGGAGAAGGGGACGACAGAGGATGAGATGGTTGGACAATGTCATTGAAGCAATCAACATGAATTTGACCCAACTCCGGGAGGCAGTGGAAGATAGGAGGGCGTGTTCTGCTCTTGTCCATGGGGTCATGAAGAGTCGGACACGACTAAACGATGACGACGTACATGACAAAAATAAAGCATCCCCTAAAAATAAGCCCTACTGTGTTTTTTGGAGCAAAAATTAATTTAAGACCCTGTGTTATTTTCAGGAAAACACGGTAATATCCTGATTCATTTGTCTGCCCACATTTTCGCCTATGGCAGGGAGCCTTCTGCTTTGGAATTGTTTTTTGAAGTCAATTCAGGCAAATTAAATAGGGACACTTGTAATTTCTTGTCTTTCACTTCTGTTGTGGACAACAGTGTTAGTGCATATGCACTAATGAGGGTGACTGGTTCCGCTGCTGAATGGAGCTGCAGAGACAGGATTCTTTCACTCCCCACAGTAGGTGGAACAATGGATCTCAGCAGAGTATTTCTGACTGCAAAACCAACACCATATTCCCTCGTCTAATTCAATGGTTTTCCCTGCCAGAAGAATTAGATTTTTTTTCTTTAACAGATCCCATGTCTGGCAATCTTGTCTCTTGCAGGGCAACAATGTCCATCTGCAGTCTACTCAGTTCCATGCTGATGACAGCTGTCTTGCTCATGTTGTCTATTTCCTGCAGGTCGTCAGAAAAGCCATAGTCAGAAAATGTACAAAAAGTTAAAAAGTAAAGTAAACCAAAAACCTGCTGTCGAGAGGAACAAGCTTAAACCAGTGATGTCAATTGGCAAAGAATACATCCATCAGAAGCCAAATTAGCAAACAGAATAGTCCACTACTTTTTGCAACAAAATTACCTAAGCCTCCCCATGGCACATATGAATCAAGTCAGCCTGTGAAAATAACAGGTGTAAAGGTCAACAGTTAAACAGGTTTTGCAAGGAAACATTTCACAATAGTAGCTGTGCTGTGTCAGGAAAGTAAGTGTCCATCTATTCCAATACTTGGTTCCAAGCAAGTGGCTGGCTAACTGCTTTTTGGAAGCTCACAAGCAGAGAACAAGGGTGGTGGTCATACTTAGTGTCCTATGTTTTGAGACAGACATGTGTCTCGCTACAGAGGATATAATGGAAAAAAACTCAATCTATTTATAAATTCATCTAATTCTGTTTTAAGACATAAGACATAAGACATAAGAAATTTATTTTACAGCCCTAAGCTGAGTTAAGCAGAACATGGGAATAGATTTCCCAGGGTTCCGCAGCAGATTGTCAGTGATTTGATTCCCTGTTGTTTTATTATCAATTGAAAAGCTCTCCACCCCACATTATCCCCTTTTTGTACCAAGATACCAAAAAGGTAGCTGGAGTAGTTGAGGAAGAACGAATGGGTTACTGAACACACTTTCCTGGATGACTTACAAGTTCAGTCTAATCACTTGCCATAATATATGTATTAACCATGCCAATAAAGTTCCATATTCACCTTATCTGACTCTTATTTTGTTGTGCAATATCTCTAGCTGTTGTTCATAGGAAAGATATGTCACTCTTGTGTTCTTTTTGCTACCTTTCCTGGATCTTTTCTAACTCTACACTATATCCTGAGATACGGAACTGAAACTGGCTTAACAGTATTTGTTGTCACATATATTTATATAATACAACAACAATAAAATTTGCTAAGTTTTCAATCTGTTTACTAATTACTCCTAAAACTAAATATACCTTTTCCCCACACGCATAATAAACTGAGCTATTTTTCAGCATCCCATCCTCCTACAGAATTAATGGTAATATCATCAGAATACAGCAGATCGTTTGAATGCTGATGGGGCAAATAAATTCTCAAAGGGTAACTACTAGGTAGCAGCACTAGCAGGTGAAATAGGAATGGATATTTCGTAGAGGTTGGCAGTGGCAGTCAAGCTTTCTTTTGCTAATACTGCATAGAAGGCAGCAGTAGTAAAGCACTTTTGAATATTTTATAACCTATCATGAGGTCTGAGACAATCCAAAATGGAATGACATAGTGTCAGAAGATGAGACTCCAGAAGGCACTAAGGTACACAGAATCAACCCCTAACCTCTTAAGTGCTAAGTTTCAAAATATTAAACAAATGGAAGATTGTTGGAAGTGGAATAGATCTGCATAAGAAAGTAGGTGTGAAAAGAGCCTGACAAGCTGTAAACATGAAAGTGAAACCTTTTGAGAGAAATGCTCCACAAGTCTTTGGATCTTTTTGCATGGAGCCTGAGGTTTAAATATTCTTCTTTCCCTAGAGGAGAAAACTTAAGAATGGCAGCAGGCTATAAAAGATACCCAGTTAAAGAATATTTTAAGGAAGTTCCTCTGCCTACCAGCAAGGCAGACAGGCATGCAAAATGCAAGCATTACAACAAAGGCCTAGTGGCAATGAAACAACATGAGAAATGCTGTGATGAAGATGACAAAAGGAACATGTTTGAACAGGCAGGATTTTCAGTTTGGTAAATGATTGGATTTCATCATATTTCTTAAAGTGTGTGCATAGATGTTAACTGTGGGTGAGTGTGCAGATGATGACTAGAAGAAACACTCAGGTAAGCAACCTGTTCTTACTCTTCACGTAAATAAACAGCTTAGTGTTTTTTTCATACTTACGTGAAAGTATGCCCTAGTAAATTTAGTGTGCATTGTTTCCTAGTAAAACTACACAGGAAAGCGGCCTAATACATACTATCTAGCAAAAGCTGGTCAAACATCTGGACTACAGTTCTAATCCTATGGAGGAAATTTTCTCAACCACAGACTGGTACAACTTCTGAATAAATATGCATGTGGTCTTGCTTCACATTTATAGGAAGCAGAACCTAATGTTCACTATATCTAGATTGTACTACTTCACACCGTAGATGGAAGCTCACCATTAGCTGTTCATACATGCTATTAAAAAACATGCATATGGTAACGCATATGAACCTTTCTGTTATGTGGTGATGGGGTTTTTTTGGGGGGGGGTTGAGAGAGAAAAGGTTTCAAAGTTACATTAATCCATAATATACAGTCACATAAGCTAATTTGCCAGAACCAGGAATTTGTAAATTTTGTCTGAGGGATGGGTGTCTTTATTTGTTTGCATATCAGGCAAAAAAGAGAAAAAAGTGGCATCTTAAAGACTAACTGTTATTGTATAATTTAATAAGAGCTTTCATGGATAAAATCCACTTCCTCAGACTTAAGAGTTGTTTGTTCTGTGTTATATGCCATCAAGATAAAACCAACTTGCAGGTTTTCAAAGAAAGTGAGGTATTTTAAGAAGTGGTTTTATGAATTTCACCCTCATCCCATGATGTTCCATGGCCAAGCAGGGATTCAAATCTAGGTCTCCTAAATCCTGTATCATTATCCTTTTACTGGAATCCTAAGATTCACTGCCTGGAGTCTGGTAAAATTAAAGAATTTTGTATCTAGAGATTTGTTTCAAGTACGAGATCTGAATTCTCAGTTCTCTTATACAAAACTTCTAGTTACCCCCAAGATTTTTGCATTCTGGCATGTAATTAATGAAAGGAAGAAATTTTGTTGATGCTGTTGTTGAATGAATCTTTACCCTTCTCAAGCAAATAAGGCAATGACCCTCCTTCTGCTAACCCTTAGCTTAAACCAGGCAACAGCAGCATCTAGTCTTCCAGATGTTGGGGTGCAACTCCCACCACACATGTCCCCAAAACATCTGGAAGCCCACAAGTTGCCCATTTCAGTTTAAAACCCACTATTCAGGTAGGCCATCACCATTCCAAATAGCCATGTAGGTAGTCTGTATTTATGAAATAAATGCAGCTGACAAACTACATCTGCGTCTGCAAAAGCTGTGTTTAAGGAAATGGGTTACAAAAATTTATGCCCAAATCTGTTAAAAGTTTTAAAGTAGCTTTGTGTTGCAGTGGTTAACCTGCAGTACTGCAAGGTTGGAAGACCAGCAGTCTTAAGATCAATTCCATGTGAGGGAGCGAGCTCCCATCACTTGTCTCAGCTCCTGCCAACCTAGCAGTTTGAAAGCAGGTTAAAATGATAAATAGGTACCACCTCGGTGGGAAGGTAACGGTGTTCCTTATCTAGTCATGCTGGCCACGTGACCACGGAAACTGTTTATGGACAAACGCTGGGAAACGCTCCGGCTTGAAAACGGGGATGAGCACCACCCCCTAGAGTAGGACACGACTGGACTAAGTGTCAAGGGGAACCTTTAACTTTACTTCAGCGACGACTCTGCTCATGACCTGAGTCCGATCCCAATGGGCTCAGATAGCCAGCTCAGGGTTGACTCAACCTTCCATCCTTCCCAGGTATCCGGCTGGCTGGGGTTGAGGCCATGTTTATGTAGCTTGAGGAATTAAATTGTAAACTGCCCAAGGAGAGCTTTTCGCACTATAGAGAGAGCAGCCAGCACACTTTGCTTTGCATATCTACCCTTCTGGAAATGGCTGGAATAAATAAATCAACATCTACGACGTTGTGGCCTTGCCTCAGTGAGTTATCCCTGGATTAGAGGAAACCGTCTCTTTTCTTCTCTCTCTCTTCACCTCTTGGGTTGCTGGCCTTGGCAAGAAACGGAGGACCACGAAACAGGCCCCTCCCTGTGAAACATACGTTCCCCTCCCTCTTCTCACGCCATCTGCCGGAGGAGGCGTGAGAAGGCTTGCTGTCTGACCTCCCAAGCTGCAGAGGGCGCTGCGGCGGCGATTCGCCCGGCCAATCACACGCCGCCGTGGGCCAACCGGGAAACGCTCGGGAAGACAGAAGAGGCGGGGCCAGGCCGGGCCTTGGGCGGGACTTCTCCCTTCTTCTATTTGGCCGCTCTCTCCAAGCGGTCCCGTGCTTTTCGCGTGCGAGAGGGAGCTCCGAGGTGTTCTTCTTTGCCAGGATGGCGGCTTCCGCTCCCGTGAGCGAGGAGGACCCTTTCAGCCGCTACCGTTCGCCTCTGGTCTCCCGCTACGCCAGTCCCGACATGGCCTTCAACTTCAGCGAGAGGAAGAAGTTCGGGACCTGGCGGCGGCTTTGGCTTTACCTGGCCCAGGCTGAAAAGGTGGGTAGGTGTGTAAGCGCGCTCAGCGAGCGGGTTGCAAGGCAAGGCAAGGCAAGGCAAGGCAAGGCAAGGCAAGGCAAGGCAAGGCAGGGTTCCTTAGAAATAGCTGCTGTTGCCTTCCGTGGAGTCTCCCTCCCTGTCAAGTGAGTCCAGGATTTCCGTCTGGGTGGTCAAGTTACCCTCCACCCCCACCCCTCAAATCTTCTCGGCTTGGCGGCATCTTTGGTCGAGGGGATTTTGCAGGTATAAAACCCCTTGGGTTCCACCCGTGTGTGCCTTTGTTCGTGCGTATCTGCCAAATGAAGGTAGCACTGCGTGCTTCTGGGGAAGAGGAAACTTTGTGTCATTTGTTAGTCTTTACACAGCATCAGGAGACTGTCCATCCTGTTATAGTTAGAGATGTAAAACTTCCAAAGATTTCCGTTTTTCTGAAAAAAACACGCACCCTTAGAAGTGTTTTCATTTTATATTTTCTTACTATAAGAACGCTGGTGTTCTTTACAGATGTAAAATTTCTGACAATTTCCTTTTTTTCTGGAAATAAAACTTCCCTTCTTTCCTATCTGCTATCTGCTGCACATTGGCTGTTATTCATATTGGCTTGTGAGGAAGATGAATCATGCTGTGTTTGAAAAGAGACCCTTTCCTGAAGCTCATGGATAGAGGCCATTTGAGTGGGAAACAGCCTTTAGGGAGGTAGCGATGGGCTTCTTTATGTACAGAGAGAGCCCTTAGTTTCTTGAAGGCTGCACTATCCGTGCACAGGGAAGAAGTATATCAACAGATTGGAGAAAGCCATTGGTTACTAAAATGTTAGTCATTGCTTTTCCATTCACTTGGGTGCCAAAACAGTGTACAATAAAATATTCAAATTATTTAAAAACAGATTTTAAACCTTTTAAAAATTGTTTTTAAAAATATTATCAATTAGTTTTATGCTATTTTATTGACTCTCTGTATTGTAAAACATTCTGGAATTATTTCAGTAAAAATGAAATGCAGTATTAAAAGGTTGCTAAATAAATAAATGTGCTTATCATGAGATAATACCAGAACAGCTAATGTTTGTTGGAGAATGAGCCAAATATCCCCAGCTAAATATTTAATAGATCAAGCCTTACTGATGCTGAAATATAATTGGCTTCCACTTAAACTTGATAATCCTTCTATTTATCCATCTTATCTCTTGTTAAGTAGCAAAAAGTGCTTAAGCAAAGAAAATAGTAGGTTTTGGAAATATGTTTTTTCCTACCTTGTTTCAAGGATTTAGGAAAGAAAAGTGGTCTGTCTTCTTTCCTATGATTTGAAGACAGTGGCAGCTGATGTGCAGTGGAAGTGGTAGAGCATTCGCTAATGGATGGAAACTATAAATATTTGTACAGCTCATTTATGCTCTTTTTATTTCCTTTTCCCCCTTGATGCTGCAATACAGTTCTTTAAAACTGAAAAATAATCTCTTACTTGGTTCAGAAGGCTCCCACACTATCATATTTGATTTTCTGCTGTAAGAAAAAATATGACCTTTGCCATCCTTTTATTTAATCATCAAGTTAGGGAGGAGAGCAGTATTCTGATGGATGAGATTTTTTTCCTAAGATTTTTTTAAATATATGAGAATTTTCTACTGCATAATCTGAAAAAGCAAATTTGATGTAGCCAGCTTTTCTAAATAAAGTAGGAATAGATTTAAGCAAGCATATTTGAAAGCACATTGGTTTGGAGTGTCTTGATAATTGCAAACACTGAATTGTGTGATTTTTAAGATGGTTGCACCACACACTTTGAGCAGCCTTTACTCTTGCCTGCCTGTCTTCTGATTAATGATTACAAGGGTATTGAGGGGTGTGTAGCAAATGCTGTGTATTTCAAAGCAGTTCATTTGACCTTAAAAGTGAAGATAGCAAAATTTTGAACATGTTATTGTGTAACTTTCTGTAACCCTAAACTACACAAACCACTCAATTTCTTCATCAGTCCAGAGGGAATTGACCCTTGCTAGTGAGTTACAACACTTTTTCTAATGAGTTACAGCATTTTGTCTAATGTTTTATCTCCCAAGGGGATTTCATCAGTCAAGAGTAAACAAATTGGCATTTATCTTCTGATTTAAATGTAGATTTTAAAAAAAATTCCATCTGGAATTATCTCCTGTCTCATAATGCTTTATTAAATGGTAGATTCCCTCTACTTGGTTCTAAAGCTGTTTTATGCGGCTAAATTCCACAGGGATATCTCAGTGAATGGGAAGGATTAGTATCATCTTGTGACTTAGATCACCACTCTCCATCTTAATTTACATAAATTAAGATAGAATAATAATTTTTTTTTTTAAGAGTGCTTCATGGACAAACCAGTTTTATAGATTATTTTTTGTTTTTTTGGCCCTTTCCCTGAGATACATCAAGGCCTTAGGGAACCACTTTTGACTACTAAACTGTAGAACCCATAAGCTGGCACAAATATTAAATATAGCAATGGCTTCATATAGATCAATAGTGACTGCAAATAATGTTATTATGTGAATGACATGGTAAGATGGGTGTATGCTGTGGTTAGAATGAACAGTGGAACCAATACCCGAGAAACTAAAATATAGGAACCATAACATTTTATAGTAGGGACCGTTCAGTTCAACACAGAACAAGAAAGTGATACCACACCCAGTTGGACTGATGGATTTCATTCCTCCTCTCTGGCTGTTTCAAAAACATTACAGATGTAGCACAGTTGCTGTCATGGATCCATCACTTCTTTTTCAACTTAAGATAGAAAGCAGATAGGGAGCCAGGTAAGACAGCTGCTTTGAAGCTTGTATTTCAGTGTAGCTCTATATTGCTTTCTCTTTTTTGCCTCAAAGAGCTGCTGAAAGATCTGTGCATGTACATAACAGAAAATTTGAGTTTAAGGACTGTAGGAAGGTACAGTTCATGTTACATCTCAATATGAAATATGTGATACAGTATGTGCTTACTGATGATGTAGGTAGGCTGTATATGGTTGAGAATTCAGGCAAGTTGAGTAATAGGTTTGGCAAAAGCAAGAATGAATTGAGCAGTTTTCAAAATTTCTGCATACTCATACCCAAGATGATCTTTAACAAAACTTAGCACATTTTGTAGAATAGCGGTTCCCAGTGTTGAGTCTTCAGATGTACTTAGACTAAAATTCATCACTAGTTGTGCTGGCCAGGATTTGTGGGAGTTGGTAGTCCAAGAATATTTGGAGACCCAACATTGGGAACCACTGTTATAGAAGAATAAGACGAGGCTTGAGGAGAGAGGCAAGAGCTTAAAAACAGAGAAGACCGCCACCATCATGCCGCAGAAAAATGGATTTCAGGAGAAAGTGTCCCGATGCTGTAAGGAAAAGCGAGCAAAGGATCACTGGAGGCAGTTTGAGTGTGGGTCTCTCAAGCATCCTAAATCTTCTGTTTTATGATTGTGAAGAATTAGAAAGTGCTTCTGACAATGATTATTTGATTATTATATAGCACTGTACATATTACAAGGTAACATAAGCAAAATATGGTGCACCATATGGTGCTCCTGCATAGCTATGTGTATAAACTAGTGTTTTCAAAAGCATGGCAGTATTTATTGTAATATGTGTTGTGCCCTAGCATGAGGAGGGAACTTATTTTTATCTGTACATTCACATTCCTGAAGAGTTACACTGTGATCTTGATCTTTGGCTGGACACATAGAGACAGTCAGCCTGTCCACCTGTTTGTTTCATCAGCCTTCTGACAGGTTGTTTTTAATGGCCCTTAGTAGATTCTCCCTGCAGTCTGTCACGGGAGCTGCTTTGATTTCTGGTGGGGTGCATTGAAATGGTGATAACATTTGTATATTGTTTTGGCTTATGTTTTATACAAGCAACATTCTGCCTTGTTTACTATTTCAGCCATATTAAGTAGCAACAAGCAAGAAAGACAAGATCCCTAGCTTCTGAATTATCGTTAGGACAGTAGAAGAGCAATTGCACAGGAGTCACGAAATGCCAAAGATTAATTTTTTTGGTATCCTTTCTGAAATTCCAAAAGGAGCAAAATGTTTTATACAGAATTTGAGTAATTTACAGGAAATCCCATGGCAGTTTTTCAAATAGCATGGGAGAGTTATAATATACTATCTTCCTTCAGAACAATGTTCCAGACCAGCACTTCACTCGCTTTTTTGCACTAAGTGCCTATATTTGAGAGGAGGTAGTGGTTTGGACTGGGACATAATTATAGTAAAAGTAGACCTATTGAAGTCAGACTAGTTATGCATCTCCTCTCAGCAACTTAAGTCTGGATCCAACCCAGTGTAAATAATTATATATTAAATGTTCCAAACCCCGTCCCCCCAAATTAGAAAAAAAAACTAATCAAATAGAAATGATTCTTCATTATTAATTGGTACAAGAACAATATTATGGAGACACTAGATTTAACCCATTCATAAATATATATCTTGGAAGTTAAGTAAGGCTTGTTTGGTAAATTTGAACATTACATAGAGCACTTTAGCTAAGAGAAGATCTCAGAGATTGTTATGTGCAGGGCTCTTAATCTAAATTTTTCTGGCCTGGTGAAATGGCAGTCTCATGTTGGTTAACTTCAAATATCTTTTCCCCCTCTTAGTCACTGGGCCTACCCATCACTGATGAACAAATAAAAGAAATGGAAGCAAATCTAGACAACATAGACTTCAAGATGGCAGCAGAGGAGGAGAAGCGATTGCGTCATGATGTAATGGCTCATGTACATACATTTGCCCACTGTTGTCCAAAGGCTGCAGGGATAATTCACCTTGGAGCAACTTCTTGCTATGTAGGAGATAATACGGTGAGTCCTATCAGCAGGAGAAAGGGAACAAAAATGCAATAATTATTAAAATAGAATTAATCTTCCACAGTTTGTTTCAGTCAAACATATGTAACTTGACTTTGATACATACATACTACTATGAATATTTTCTGTTGTGATCTAGTTTGGTGATTTTTTTAAAAAAAAACTGGCAACTCTGTCCTGAATAGTTGTTCTGACAGCATTAAAGGGGAGTGATTAAAATACACTAAAACAAGATGGAGTTATTTTTAAGAATACTGAAAGAGAGTGTAGGCCAACTAGTCCTATGATTAATTCTCTCCCTCTTTCTGTCTTTTTTGCCACTTGGCCAGAAGATGTCTGCTTAAAATTAGATTTTCAAGAGCACAGTTTAATATTACTCCTACAGTCTTGCAACAGTGTAGAATATTGTTGTCGTGTTTTGATTAAAAACCAAGTTTATTTTTCTTCTTTTAAATCTTCTGTCTTGCTGGAAGCAAATTCTCATCATGGGAGCTGGTTGAAAAAAATATCGTAGTGACATGTTGGCTGTATCTATCACTGATTCATTAACATGAGAAACCAACGTCGCTTTGGTACATGCTGAATGTGGACTTTGGTTTGGTTCATGGAATATCTCTTCCTCCACTCAGAAAAGAGAAGGGGAATCTAGTGCTAGAGTTGAATTTATTTTAATGTCAAGTATCATGTGATTTTTTCCCTTGACAGTTAAATGAAAAATGTGTAAAATATCTGTCTGAAATGGCAACATTATTTTTTGCAAACAAAAAGTTACATATCTTGAGCCCCATAACTAGCTTTGTTGCAGTCTGTTTCAAACAGGCAACTATTCCTTTAATTATTGCTTTATCCCCAGTTTGTTTGTTTGTTTGTTTGTTTGTTTACCGACAGATTGTAACTGGAAGTATCCCCTGAGGGCCATGTTTAACCCAGATACTGACAACTGTTGCCAACTGACTATATTAATCCATTGTTGTTCTAACTCTAATTCTTCCAGCTGTAGAGAGAATCTGCCCATGCACCTTTAAAAGAAAAATTGTAGTTATACATGTGTGCCTTTACAGAAGGAGTAACTCTGGCTGGAAAAAAATGGAAGGAAGGAAGGATGTGGTTGCAGAATATTGTGTCTAAAAATTTTGTTCATATTTCCATTAGGACCTAATCATTCTTCGGGATGGATTCAACTTGCTTCTTCCCAAGGTAAGATTCACAGTTTATATGGGCTGGTGCTGTTACTTTCCAGATAGTTTGGCTGTCAACATTCATTATTTGATCAGAAATTTATGGAAATACAGTAAAATCAATTGGGAAAAGCACACATTTAAAAATATATATGTCTGCCCTGAGCTGCTTTCTTCTAATTTACTGAATACAAACACCTCTTTTTGAGCTGCTTTCTTCTAATTTACTGAATACCTCTTTTCTAATTATACAATGGTGCCCCGCATAGCGACAATAATCCATTCTGAAAAAATCATTGCTATACGGATTCGTCGCTATGCGGGGCAAAAAACCCTATAGGAACACATTAAAACATGTTTAGTGCGTTCCTATAGGGAAAAAACTCACCTTTAAGCAAAAATCCTCCATCCGGCTGCCATTTTCGGTGCCTCTAAAGTGAGGCAACACACCGGGCGGCCATTTTGGAACTGCCGATCAGCTGTTCGGTGCTCTCTCTCTCTCTCCACCCCTTGCAGGTCCAGCCAGGGCAGGGAGACTGAGGCCAGGGTCTCCCTGCCCAGGCTGGAGTTCTGAGGGGGGAGAGAGAAAGAGAGAGAGAGAG